TTTTTGTGGTAACTGTTGTCTCTTAATTAATCAGCTGTCAATGTCTTTTAATTAGACATGGATTTTAATATCTCCTGTGAGACTGATGGGTACTTAACTAAAATGACTTGCAGATGGTCTGCAAACCCAACCAYCTCGCTCCTGGGGAGTTTGCAGTTCAGATATTACAGGTATGGATGGCTTCGAATTCTCCTTTTATGTTTGGAAAGCATTGCTCAAAATGCTGTTGTGTCAAAGAATTCTGGATAAATGTAATTATAAAATTAGCAATTTCCTTAAGGGGGATTTATCTGTGTGCAGGAAGGCAACCAGAGATACCTCAGGATGGAACAGATCTTATTTTAAGGTTTTTCAGCATTTTTAAAACTCTTTGGGAGCCAGTTCTCTTAAAGCAGTTTCCTTGGATCAGTTATAGAAATGATTCCAGTTGTTCCTATCTACAAATTGTAGGGAAATAAAGGAAAAGCCCATTCCAGGTGGGAATGCCTGGCCTGGGGGAGCTGTGGAATCCCTGTCCTTGGAGATTTTCAGATCCCACCTGGATGGGAGCCTGGGCAGCTCCATCTGATTTGATCTGAACCCTGCTCTGAGATAGGACTTGATACCTCCTGAGGCCTCTGTTCACTCTTTGATTTCTCTATAATTCTCTATTTTTTTTCCTATATACAGACAGATAAAAATAGGGGATGAAATAAATTCATTTCAAAATGGGAAAAAAATCCTGCTTAGAGAATCAAACCTTAGCTCAGGGAGAGAATATTGCTTTGTGAAGGCAGCAGCTTTGGCTGCAGCAATTCCCAGGATCCCAGATTGGTTTGGGTTGGGAGGGAGCTCAAAGCTCATCCCATTCCACCCCTGATATATTGAGCTTGAGAGTTTCCTAGATCCACACAGACAGACAGATAGACAACCCTTCCTGAGACAAACAAATCCATCATTTTCCTGGACTGGAGGTGCAGAAATTTTGGCAAACAACTTCCATCAGCTCTGAGGGCCTAATCCTTTGGGAAGCCAGGCTGTGTTCTCTGTTGGAGGTGAAGTTTTGTATTACCCTGGTGCCCAGGTGAATATTTCTCAGGGTTTTGTGGAATAAKTGGAATGCTGAAAACTTCAAGTGGAGGCTTTTGGGGCAGGATTAATGCCTGGCTGAGTGCTAAGGTAGGTTTTGTTTCAACTGCTTTCCCAAATATGAATATAATGAGTGCCCTGCTGGGCAGGGAGGTGGGAATAAAACCCCTGCTGCTCATCGTGCCTCTTCTTCCCACGTTTTCACTGCTCAGGTTTTGCTAAAAATGTAATTTTCTAGTGGGAGGTGATAATGTGTGGATTTGTTAGYGCTCCTGCTGGATCAAACAGTGACATTAACACCGCCTGCAAATCCTTCCCAGATGCTGCTGATCCTTCTTTTTGTCCTTTTTGGGTTTTTTTTTGGCTGTTTGTTCAGAGTAAGAGCTGAAAGAAGAGACTGCAATGAAATTGCTGCTGCTGCTGCACCTTGGAGCTGGAAGGCAGCCGTGCTGTGCTGTGTGTGATGATTTGGCTGCCGGGTTTTGTTTGGGTTGGGCTGTTCCTCTGTGCTTGGGGCTGCCAACAGCATGGATCATCCAGTGGGAGCTGAGAATTCCATCACAAACGTCCCACAGCAGCAGGGATCATCCAGTGGGAGCTGAGAATTCCATCACAAACGTCCCACAGCAGCAGGGATCATCCAGTGGGGCAGGGAATTTCATCCCAAACCAACAGCAGGGATCATCCAGTGGGGCAGGAATGCCATCCCAAACCTCCCACAGCAGCAGGGATCATCCAGTGGG